GGGGTGGAGGGAGTGGTCCTCTTTTGCCCATCTACAATAGGCAGGAGCCAAAGGAGTAGAGAGCCCAAAAAAGGAACCAAATAAACCCAGGTTAAAGACAGTACCGTTGATAATTCGAAACAGGATCATCATTCAGCTCTGCAGTCCAACACTGGGCTATCAACATGCCACAGAAGCTGTTGTTAATCACACTGTCGGTTAAAGTAAACTTTGCCTGTGAGTGGTTGGCGGATGTTCTGGTTTGGTTTGCTCCTTCTTTCCTATCAAACACCTCTCATCCTTATCTCCCCTCCTACTTTTTGGGTTTGTTAGTCTCTTGTAACACTTCTAATCTTCGGCACTTAATATGACCGTATTGCGTTGCAAGTGCCATAAAACACTTACTAAAACTTTTTTTAAACTTTGCCTCCCCCCCCCCAACCCATTGAGACCTTAAGTAACCTTAGGCGCTTATTCTGGGTCTCCACTCTCCGTGGGTCCACAGCTTCTGCTCTGTGCCGGTCAGGTGCTTGGCACGTAGAAGACTTGAGTTCGATTCCTGCGTAGAGATAGTTTGTTTGGGTGGGTTCTTTGTACGTTGTACCCCTCTCAGCCCCAGCTGGCCCTGACTGAAGCCAACCTCTTAAATGATCAAAATGTGTCGTTGAGGGCGTAAAATATGAGAGTTGACCATTGTAGTGTAGGTTACCCTGGCCTTAATTCCTAACACGGCATTCTCTAACGTGGGCCGAGGTTTTTGTTGTTGTTGTTTAGTAGGGTTTTTTTTTTTGGGGGGGGGGGGTTTGCTTGTTTGTTTGTTTTTTGGGAGGGGGGGCACGAGTTTAGTTCTGTCTTGTATTGTCTAATAGGAACATGGGCATCAACGGTAATAACTTTGGGTTCAAACAGAGGATTTTTAACAGCATTAACAGCTGTGACAAGAACTGCCAAAAGTTGGACACTGGAGTTGGTACAAGGAAGCACTCCGCTCGCCAATTTTCATGGCTCCCCGCCTACTTGGTCCTGTCAGAAGTGCACATTAAAACCAGAGGGATTGCCTCCCTCTTGAAGAAATGACCCCATTGTGTTGAAGGGGTGCCAGGCCCGATGCAATAAAATATATTTCTATACGACAGCACTTTGGAAGAGAAAGAATTTGGGAGAGAGTGGGCACTGTGTACAGTTCCAAGAAAAAACAAGTACAATAACAGTCGAGTCAGCTGTGTGAAAGACAAAGAGCGAACGAGGGTGAGAGAGAGAGGGGAGAGAGAGAGAGAGAGAGAGAGAGAGAGAGAGAGAGAGAGAGAGAGAGAGAGAGAGAAGAGGAGAGGAGACTAAAACAGAGGGGGGGACAAATAGGGAAAGGGGAGGGTGGACAGACAAACCCAAAGAGATTAAGCGACAGAAAGTGACAGAGAGGGACAGAGAGAGAGAAGGAAAAAACGAAAGAGACAGAGAGAGAGAAAGAGAAAGAGAGAGAGAGAGAGACAGACAGACAGACAGACAGACAGACAGACAGACAGACAGACAGACAGACAGAGATTGTGTGTGTGTGTGTGTAGGGGGCGGGGAGTGGGGGTGTATTGCATGTGTGGACCTCTAAAATTTGTTTAGATATCCATGCTGGGGCGAGTTGCAGCAGAAATAAGAAAACAGGGAATTCAAACTAGATCAACAATGTATACCATGTGCGGTATGACTTAGAGGCCACGCCTCCCGGGAGAAATACAACTACAAAATGTACGCATGTGCCAAGGCTGTGAGATGGTGCTGGGGGGAGGCTACATTCCCGATTATTGAAAGCTAGGAACCGTAGGAATCGATTCCGAACCCAATTACTTACTTTTTAATAATGTGATTCTCCA